AAGAAGAACAAGAAGAAGAACAAGAAGAACAAGAAGAAGAACAAGAAGAAGAAGAACTGCTAAACATCTGGTGTTGAAAATATGCCTCACAAAAACACGCCTCATTTAATATTAACAAAATTGTTCCTTAGAAAATAAAATCATTTCTAAGAGAAATGTTCATAGCCTATAACAGGCCCACTGTAGGATGGCAGCAGCTTCCTCCCCTACCTGCTGACCTCCAGTGGCTGGCTCCTCTGGCCCCTGCTTCCAACCTGCCTCAGGACAATGGCCAATCCCTGGCCCTGGTCCACAAGGCCTGTATGCCCTGGTCCCTGCCCACTCCTCCCTGCTATCATCTCCTGTCTCATTCTGTGGCTTGGCCACACCAGGTTTCTTTCCACAGCCAAGGGAACCATGTTCTTTCTCATCATGGAGACTTAGATGCCTGAGAATAGGTGTCCAGGTAGGCAGCCCAGGAGAGAGAAAAAGTAGATGAACTGTTCTGGAGTACACCTATGGGAAAGGCCGAAGGCTACACAGCCTCCCCACTAGGCCCTCAAAGGCACCCATACCAGATGGTGAGAAGATGAGCCTGACGCTTCTGCTGCAGGGCATGCTGGGTCTTCAGCATTTCCTCTATCTCCTTCTGTACAGCTGGAGGAGACTGGATCCTCTCACTGGCCATGAACTCACTGGTGACCAGTTACATGGGAAAAGAGAGGAGAGAACAGGAGCGAGATGCAAGGAGATCCACAGCAAGAATGTTCAGAGCTTTGCCTTCCCTGCCCTTGCTAAAGGATATCCAGGAGAGGAGGATATCCCAACCTACTTAGCCTCAGCCTCCCCTCTGAGACCCTGAGGAAGATAGTTGAGGTGATGACAGGAGAACCAGTAGGGAAGAAACAGTGGACTATCAGAGCAGCCACAGCAGAAACAGTGCAGGACCAGTAGGCTCGGACCCAGCGGGGATCCTCAGGCTCCCTGCCTGTTCTGTGACCTTATGGAAGTCCCTCCCCCACTCTGAGGCTCACTCTCTGTTTCTGCTAAATGGAGTTAACAAGAGCACTTGTGAGGACGCACAAGCAGAACCCTTACCACCCACTGTGCCTGGCTCAAAGGAAAAGTCCAGATAAAAGCCAGCCATCACCATGCCATTTATTGGCACTTATAACAACCTCCCAGCCCTATATCCTGATAGGGCTTTGCATACAGCGCCTCACTGGCACGCCACTAGAACCCTATTGCAGGGGGCCCAGCCCTAGCTCAGTTCTTTAAGTGGCTGCTTACACAATGCTGGGAGCCTCAGTTTGCTGTAGTTCAATCCCCACAACACTCCAGCCATGCCAAAGTGCCCTGAAGGCATTCAAGGAGAAAAAAAAAAAAAAATTCCTTCAGTTCTTTAGAACCCTATTGCAGGTCTCTGAGTGTCATCCAGGAATGCAGGCTCTGAACGTTAAGGACTTGATCAGTCACACAGGAAGGCAAGGGGCAACCAGGCCTCAGCACACTTTTCATTCATCTACAGCAAAAATGCCACTTGGTGAGGGAAGGGCAGAGATAGGCTCATCTTCCCCCTGCCTCCCATGGGGAAGCTGCTTTGAAGGGTGGGGGCTATCAACCCGAAAGACTTCTGTTCCCCTGGGCCCAGCTCTCCCGGGTTACCAGCAACAAGGAAGACTACAAATTCTACAGCAAATCAGATGAATGTTTTCCCAATAGTTTGTACTTCAAAGAATGCTCATGAAATAATGTTCATATAAAACTGCACGGATTGTATGGGCCTAGAAAGACCTGAGGGAAAATAGCCTGCTGAAATGTTAGCCACGATTCTCCTTGAAGGGAGGGGGTGGTGGTGAGTTCTATTTTTTTCTTGATATCTTTATTTCTAGCTTTAGAAAGAAAAAGAGAAACATGCTAAGAACTGACAGAAAAGGCAGTGCAGTCTTTAACCTGTGTGGCCCCGGGGCTGGGGGAGGGCTGTGGTGGTGCTGGCACTGCTGACCTGAAACTCTGTAGCAGCAACTCTTTCTTGAGGACCTTCCAGGAATCCTCCAGGCCCTGCCAGCGGTGGCGGCTGTCGAGCTCCATCTGCAGGGTGGCCTCCATCAGGTTGACGTATAGCTGGGCGATGGCCCGCCGATTGCCCAGTAGGGCATGGTTAATGATCTATGGTCATGGGCAGACAGGGTCTAGATGAAGCAGTGCTCTCAAGATATGACAAGGCACAGTTAGAGACAGGCAAGTGAGGCTGGAGAGCCAGGACAGCAGCAGGCTAGGGCTGAGAGGAGTGGCGGTAGGGCCTGAGGAGTCCCAAGGGGCCCGCACAGGAGAACGCAGTGTGAACAGTGATGAGCAGCTTCCTTGAAGACTGAACCATACCCCTGACTGCATGAGCCTCAACGCAGCTCTAAGCTCCCACTGTATCATTCAGTACAGAAAGTGGAAGAGCCTAGGCACTTTAGTGCGCTCTAAGTGTTCTTTATGTTTTACAAATTTGTTCTAAAACCAGAGTGCTTGTGCACCAGGGGCCAGCCACATGTTGTCACTTTGAGGACAGAGACCCAGTGGCTACAGAGGCCAGAACATTCTTCAGGGTCTCTCCTAGTGGCCTTACCTGAGTACCCTAGAAATGGGACAGAGGACAATCCTTTACTGAGTAGCACTGTTCTGCCCCTTTATATCACTGTCCTTTTTAAGTGAGAGTCCAGAAGAGCCTCAAATGCCTCCACGCATTTCCCAAAATCTCTAGAGAAGTGAGAGTCCCGCCAGGCTCAGCAGGAGAAAGCCCAGCCCTGCTTCTCAGGGTAGCCCGAAGCTTGGACTTGGTAGCAGGAGACATCCACAAGTATTTCCTCATCATCCAGGGCCTCAGCTATTTACAGCAAAGGGACTCTGTAGCTTGTGGGATCATCAGTGCTCAGAAACCAAATGATAAAGGTGTACCAAGCAAGGAGCAAGTGCTACTTGTTCTAATGAGAGACATAGGGGAGATGGCTCAGTAGGATAAGTGCTTGACTGGCAAAAGCAAGGATCTGAGTTCAATCCCCGGTTCCGCAAAAAAAAAAAAAAAAAAATACCAGGAACCCAGAGAGACATAAGCACATGACAGTGAAATACTGAAGCATAACCTGGACCCTGTGGACACCGACTCTCATGGAGACAATATCCAAAGTCTAGGACAGTCATGTATCTTGGAGTCTCTGTTACCATCAAGTAACAAGTTTTGGCAGTAAGTACTGTCACCCCTGTGTTATGGACAGGGGTTTTAGGCACAAGGCCTGAGTCATTCTGGGCAGTGCAGAGAGAGACCTGTTTCCCTCTGTGCCTGTGATGTCCCGGGCATCACTTTACAGTCATGGGCCAGGCCCTGCTGTGATTCCAAGTACTGCGCTCCCTTAAGCGGGCTGTGCTGCCAGGCAGCTGCTATTTGGCCAGCTGAGCTTTGCAGAGAGAGGACCAGGAAACTCTTGAGAGCAAACTGTGCCTGTGAGCACCTCAGAGTACTTTCATGGAGCTGAGGGAGTCAGCCTTTGCTCTGGCTCTAGCAACATCATGAACAACCAGGAATCTGTCGCTTTAAAGTGCTGAGGACAGCGCCTGGGGGAGCCTGGGGGGAGGAGGTAGCACCAAGAGGTGGGTGTGGTTCAGCAGCAGACACTGGGAGCCACCGGAGATGAAGAACAAGTAGAAAATCCAGACAGAGCAGGTGAAGCATTGCTTTCCAGACTAGAGACCCCTGAGACCACAAAGCCCCAAGACGGTAACTCCAGTGTAGCATTTACAGCATTGCACGCAGTATCTGAGCCCCCGCTCGAGGGATCATCAGTGCTCAGAACCACAGCACCATGTTAGCTGGGCTCATTTGAAAGTGGCACAGAAATGTGAAACACACTTCACAAAGATTTCTTTCTTTCTTTTTGTATTTTAGGGAAGGGTCTACAGGGTGTTCAGGGTTTCACTCCTAGATTGGACTCGTAGCAATCCGCTTGTTTACAGCCTTCCAAGAGCTGGGATTATAGGTGTGCGCCACCACGCCCAGTCTCAATTACCATCTCAGCACTCCCTGGGGATGGGGCTGGCACAGCAGGCCCGGGGATCGAACTCCTGGACCCTGTTCACAAAAATTTGTATTGAAAATGCTTACACTTACAAAGACTTACGTGCCAACTTACACGGCCCACTGGAATTACTTAGAAATGTTACAGATGAGAAACCTGGCATTTCTAAGGCCCAGGCTTGGGGAGTCCTGGGGTCCTGCTACTTTTGCTGTAGGCTGAAACCCACCCAAGCAGATCACTCACCATGGCTTCTTTATTTATCAGCCTGTACACATCGGGCTGTAAGAGGTAAGCTGTTTTCTCTATGATTTCCACATATTTCTTCAACACACTCTTTAGCTAAAGGGGACAAGGTACTACGGTTAGTGACTCTCACTTGCTGGGCCACTAATGGAAGGCAGGAGCATATCCATCAATCCTGCAAGTGAAAGTCACCCAGGAGCCCACTGGTTGCCAACTCACCTTATCTGTTCGGGAGAACTCTATTGAGAGTAACCGGTCATCCAGTTCCTTAATCTCCTGCTTCTGGACCAGGAACATATTGGCCACCTTATCCCATAGCTCCAACAGGGTCTGTGTAGAGGAGCTGGATCAGACTGGGAACTACTAGAGCTAGGATGGGGAGAGCAGGGCGGGCCATGAAATAAACCCCTACTTGAATGGTGTAGTCCTCAAGACTGGTGTCATTTTCCACTTTTTTGAAAAGGTTGTCAATAGCTTCATCAAACTCAGACAGCTTTTTTAAAAACAGCTCCCCTGTGTCCAAGATGAGAGGCTCCATTTCCTGCAACAGGCCAGGAGGGTGATGGCAGCAACATGCCCAGGAAGGAGGGTGCTCTCCCTATATGGGCAAGTGCCAGGCATGGTCCTCTCTCAGAAATACTCATCATGGCCTAGATCTAAGGATTGCTAATTAACCCATGCCTGGAGGACAGCAGCCCCATACTGCCCATGAGGCACTGGGCCAGGGATGACCTCTCCTTCCTCACTCTTGTGGGTTCTTGCCACAGGGCAAAGGAGGTGCTCTTGTTTTTGTCGGGCAAAGGAGGTGCTGACCTCAGGGCTGGCCTGAGGTTGGCACTCAACAAACACTAAGTAAAGAAGAATCTCCAGTTTATTTAGAATGAGGAAACAGAGGCCCAGAGCCAGAGAACCCATGGGTGATAATAGAGGTGGCATTTAGTTGGGACCTACTGAGGGACATGGGACATGAATCTGTTGTTGGTGCTTCAGGCTGGGGACAGGGCTAGGGCAGGGCAGCATTTAAGCTTTGAGTCAGGGCAACCAAAATCAGAAAAGACTTGGGAAGACAGGATTCAGAGAAGATTTGGAAGGGAAAAGGCTGGCCTTGTTTAGAAAATTCATCTGGGGCTCTTCAGTCAGCCCTGCATTAGCAAGCCTGAGCAGGAGGCCAAAGGGCACCAAACTGGGGTGCAGTTCCAGCTTGGCCCCTTACCTCCCTAGGCAGGCATGATCTTCTGAGCCTCAAGTAAAATGCAGGAGCAGACCCTGACTTAGCAGGCTTTGCAAGAGTTAAGGGGGACTGTGCTCACACAAGCATGGTAACCAGCCACTAAACATGGCTGCTATGAATCCACCCACATCAACTCTGTCTTGGTGAGGCCTGAGGACCTCTCTGCTGAGCAGCAGAAGAAAGGAAGCCGAGTGCAATGACAAAGCTGCCTCAAGAAGGCTACAGCAAGAGGGAAGAGGGGGCTGAGCCACACCATCCCAATCTGTGCGATCTCCTCACGAAAGCTCTCCAGCGCACGCTCGTAGCTCCTCTTCTTTTGGTTTTCTTGCCTTTCAAGGATGACGGTGCTCGTCCTTTCAGGCACTGTGGGGTGACAACAGAGGTGGTGAGGCTTCAAGAGAGGGCAGTGTACCCAGGACAGGCAGAACCCAGGCTGGAGGCTGGGAGCAGCTGCACGCCAGGTGTGACCTCAGGTTGACACCACAGCCAGGCCAGGAGAGCAGAAGCTCGAGGAAGAAAGGCTGTAGGTGATGCCTAAGTGCTCAGGGAGGACGGTCTCCAGCACACTGTTAAATACTGACGAGCTGGGGGCTGTAGCTCAGTGGTACCACGCTTGCCTAGCATGCATGAGGCCCTGGTTTGATTCCCTAGGATTCCCAAAATAACAAACAATACAGAAATACTGGGAATTTCCAAATGCCATCTATGAAATTATAAAATTTATGTCTTTTAAAAAAAGTTTTAAAGCTGCAAATACATATTCAGATGCTTTCCAAATTACAACAGCATTAGGCCTTGACAAGCCTACTGTAAATCAGGAATATTATAAGTTGAGGATGCATTTAATATATCTGACTACCAAATATAACTTAGCTTATTCTACTTTAGCCTACAGCAATGCAAAATTATCTAACATAAAACCTATTTTTCAGTAAAGTGTTTGCTATCATGTAATTTATTAAAAACTATACTGAAAAAAAGGGAAATCAGAATGTGGCATGGGTATACTTTGGCACCATTGTGAAGCTGAAATATTGTAAGTTGAACCATCATAAATCGGGAACCCTTTGTAGAAATAATAAGCAACACCCATAGAGTGCTTAGCCCAGCGGGTGTTGTTCTGCTCCGTTACTGCTCAGGACGAGGCCGGGAGTAGCACTATCACTTGCCTCAGGCTACGAGTGGGGAAATTCAGGCACCAGAGTTGAGGAACAAAGTCTGTGGCTGAGCAGGGACTTGGACTCGGACCCCTGGCCCAATGGCCTGCATTCCCACCCATGTTCCACCACATCCTGCATCCATCAGGGAACCTAGATGCCATGTGGGTTAATGGGGTTAGCGGGCTCTCTTTAGAGAAGAGACGCTCTTACAGAAGGGTGGCTTTACTTTCTGCTTCGTTTTTCTCCTTTAATTTTTTAACTTTTTAAATCATAAAGACAAATGGAGTTCATAAGGAGTAAAGTTAAACTAAGACAATATCATAGGAAGAAAGAAAGTGTGGATTGAGTAATGCCACTGTGAAATCAAGGAAAGCTAGCAATATCCTTTTGCCAGCTGCTTTTCCTAGGAAGGACCCCTGTTCAGTTCGCTGCCCAGTGCCTGTCCAGCTTCCGGCCCAGGGGAGAATCCTCAAGGGAGATGCTGAGGGAAGAATGCCTTCTCAGGGGCTGAGCAGAACAGCCCAGTCTGAGCTTCAGGGCCTGCGCTGGAGGAACTCCAGGGGACATCCGGCCAGGGCTCTCTCCTACCCAGCACAGACCTGTGCTCCAGGCTGGACCGAAGCTCACCAATGGTGTCCATGAGGCCCCGTACTTCTCGGGCAGCGATCTGGTTCTCACTCTCTTGTGCCTTTTCCCTTTTGGCTTTTTCCCTTTCCCTGAGATGCAAGCAGAAGAGAAAAGTAAGCCCTGGCCCCAGATCCACCCCCCAAGAGTGCAGCTCTGGAATACTGGGGAGCCTTCAGGGGGACAGCAGGCAGTGGCAATGGCTCTGGCGCAGCCTGATTCTAGAGATCTGCATGGCAGTGCCCAGTTTCCCAACAAACACTGCCTGGATGTCCTTTGCCAGAAGATGCTGCAGGCTGGAGATGGGAGCCTGCTTCAGCTCTGGTGGTAAACCAGATGTGGTGTTGGCGTGAACCATTTCTACACAGGAGCCTGAGGATTATCAGGGTTGTGAGCAGCCCAATAAAGCTCTCAGCATGTATCCTCACTCGTCCCTTCAGTAGCCCTATTTTTCAAGGAGAAGGGAACATAGAGGAGCTACAGTCCAAAGAAAGCCCAGATTCCAAGACCCAAGACTCCAAGACCACGTGACAGCAAGGCCTATGGGGCTTGTGTCTGGGAGAAGAAAGCTGGGATCTCAGGACGAATGTCTCAACAGGGAGGACCAAGGGGGTGGGTGTGACATTAGCTTTGGAATTAAATCCATGAAAGCATCATGTACAGACAAGCACTACAGAAATCCCTGTTTTCTGTGACACTATATTCCTTGAGGGCCCCATGTGTCCAGCACTTTCCAGGCATTTCTTTGAATCCTCACTGTAGGCCAGGAAGACTTCAGGCTGGGCTGTAGTTGATAAGGGCCCCTACAACCCTGCAGAGGGGTATTTCAGGCCTTGTTAGTCCCAGTGCCCTGGCCCATAGGAGCCCCTTAGGAGCCCCCAGGACAATGAGTGCTACTGTCAGCTCTGGCTTCTCAGCCACCTGCCCCTGGGACTTGGGGACTTCGCTAATACTAGTGGGGATCTACCTCTCACCTTGGGCTGGTTTCCCAGGAGCCCAGCCTGCGTAAATAGGCAGAGAACTAGCATTCACTGGCCAAAATTTCAAGCATTTTCTTGAGGTCTGAGGAAGATGAAACATCTGACCCTGTCACTGCCATTCAACGTAGTCTGGCCCTGTAGCTATCTAGAGGATGCTGGTCCTAATGGCTGGAGTGTTATCCCACAAAGGAAACAGAGAAAGAAAAGCAAGAACACCCAGGAAGGTGTGTGGGAAAGGAAGCCAGGGGCCTGGAGATTTGGAGGAGGGAATGGCAGCCAAAAGTCCACGCAGGAGGAGAGTTGACAGGAGGTCCAAGGTGACCTCTGCAGGAGTGGCTGGGGTGGGAAAGAGTTGGATGGCCCAGGGATGAGGAGCACTGGGTCAGGCACAGGCTCATCCACAACACTCAGGGTGGGGAACGGCTGAGGCTGGAGATCAGTCGTTTACATGGGCTGGAGCAAGGCTGGTCCTGAGAACAGAGTGTCCCTGGCAAGCCAGGTGAGCAAGCTGCTCCAGCTCTGAGGAGGATGTGAGCACCCTGAGGCTGCCTTGCAAACAGGTTGCTAGGCAGTGGGTGTCACGTGACACCTACTTGTCTAATATATAAACAAACATGCTGGAGTGGTTGAGCAGTCCCTTTCCTCCCATCCAGAGAGAGGGCTACACTTGACTTCAGCTTTCCATATTCTGACTCTTGTTTTTATTTCTCCTTCCTTCTACTGTCCCTTTCCCTGGGAATGGAGAATGCTGCTCTGGACACAACAAAATGGCCTCAAGGGAAGCTTAGGGAGACAGAGACAGGGCAATGTAGGGAGGCAGGGAGCAGTGACCCAGATACGCTCTTCTTTCTGGAAAGGAGAGGCTATGTGCTGAGAAGAGGCCTCAGGTAGGCGAGAGCCCTGGGGTTGATGTTTGAGAAGGGCTCCCTGTAGAGGGAGAGGCAGAGGACTGGAGATGATGCAGGGAAGCTAAGACTGCACCTGACTCTTCCCCAGGTCCTGAAGGTCTATAGGGTTGCCCAGGTGGGTGGGAGGTCCACTTGTGACCTCCTGTCTGTGTAAATAGGGCACTCCTGGGTGGAGACCGGTAGGGAAAGAGGACCTGGGGGAAAGTAGCAGGCTGGGAGAGCTGCTTGGAGCCTCCAGGCTGGCTACTTAGAGGTCCAGGTGAGCGTGGGCTGCTGCATCTGGGTTTTGTCTATCTTCTCTGGCTTAGGTGGGAGGTTGGGGGCTCTCGTGGGCAGGGAGAAGATTGGGGACTGAGAAAGGTCCATTGGTGACCCAACCACTGGGGCTGAGCTGGCTGGGAAGAAAGCAAAGGAAGGAGAGGCTGTGGACAGAGAAGGGAGGGGAACACTTTTCAGGAACAGGGGACAGGCCTGAAAAGACAGAGAGGTTCTGGATGTGAAGTTAGCAACCCTAGGCATTTTGGCAGGTTACAAACATGTCACTGTTTCTGCCCAGGCCATAGGGAGCTGTACTCTGATTCTGTCCAGGACAGAGCTGGGCTTGTCTGTCTGTCCCAGGAAGCTAGCACAGCACAAGGCCAGGGCCTTCCATGACAAGGGCCACGGGCATCAAGAGCTCCTGACTGATGCTGCATCTGGACTTAGGGGAGAGGGCGACCCCAGGCTGAACCCTGGGTAAGAAGAGAGCCCCAGGAAACACGAGGACATCAAGAGGCCCCAGCCCTGGATGAGAACGGAGAGTGGGCTTGGGAACTTGTGGGAGCTGGACTCGGTTAGGCTGCCACATCTGCCTCCTGGAAGACATCCTGGGTCTCGGGCAGGCCCAGCTGCTCATGCCTCTGTACCTCTCCAGGGCATTTGGCTGGGCACAAGAGCTGGGAAAGGCGCGCCTCAACTTGGCTGCAGTGGGGTAGGGGATGTGCTGATCTCAGAGTAAAGGTGCTGAGAGTCAGAAGCCTCAGAGGAGGTTCCCCTGGGAACAGTGAGTCAGGGTAGAGAGCTGAACCCAGTATAGGATCTGTCCTAGTCCCACGGAGAGTGAGAAGGACAACACAGGCAGGTAGAGGAGGCCTAAATTCTTGTCTCCAAGCCCCTGGCCGACCAAGGGGAGTCTATAGCTTGTACTGAGATTGAGCTTCGGGAGACTAAGGAAAATACGGCTCTCACTGTATTCTCCCAGGAAGCTGAGAGAGAGGTGTTAACCTCTTTTCTTCTACTTTCCTTTTCTCTCTGAGGTGTCAGTGAGCAGGAATACTTAGGAATCTCAAATTTACTTCTGAATGCGGATGATCGCAACAAATGCCTGTTCTCACTGCCCTATGCCAGCTGTTCTTGTCTCAGGGAGCAGTGCAGCTGCTGCACACCCAGCCAGCAGGCCAGAGACAAAGGACCCCCAGAGAACCTCTCCAGCCATCCAACTCACCATGAGCCTGCCTGCACCACTGAGATTGCAAGGCTGACCACAGCAGTGGCCTCTCTGGACTCCCTGATCCTTCTTGAGGCCCCAGTCCTACACTCTGCACAGTGACCCAAGGGACCTTAGCTATGCAAATCAGCTACTCACTTGAATAAATTCCCAAACACGGACTGAGGCCTGCAAAGTGTGTCCCGGCTTCAACCCTGCTCTCTTTCTCCAGGCCCACTGCCTGTTAGCCCTCAGGGGTGGGCCAAGCCCAGCCTCAGAGCCTTGCCTCACCCTTCCCTTCCTCATCCTCTGGTCCAAGCTGAGGCCCTTTCTCAGAGCATTTTCTTGATCTGACTCAATGTTCTCCCACTTTGGGGGGTAGTGCTTGTTTATTACTGCTACACTGGGCCTCAGCTTTCTGCACGCTGACTCTCACCTTTATAGAGTCCTCGAGTCAGGATCCTCTTACCCAGAGCCTGTTCCTAGGCACAAACTCAGTAACTACTTGGGGAAAGAGAGAAGAGCCAGTGATCTTTTGAAGTAGGTGTTACTACTTCCCTCTTCAGGGGACATACTTGAGACCTCATTCCTACTGGCATCCTAGGTCTTTGAAGATTCTGAAGTTCCCACAGTGTGTGGGGGTTGGGAGGGGCTGATGGCAGGACCAACCTTAACAGAACAGGTTTTTCTGTCACCCAGTCATTGGGGAGGCTGTGTATCCACTTCTGCTGCCGAGGGGTCATCATCTCCCCTATGGGAATCTCCACCTTCTTCATCACAGGTGGCCTGCCACTCTTTGGGGCCACAGGATGCTCCATAGCACGCTTCCGGGTGGCTGCCAAGGAGTGCACCAACTGCACCTGAATTCGTGGGAGAGTGGGATGCAAGTAGTTAGAGCTACAGACTCGCTAGGACCCTCACGCTGGCTGTGCCTCTTAGAACACTTGGGGAGCAGTCACCAACAAGGCACCTTTCAGGGACACCTCCAACCTTACCCCTCTTCCAGGAGGACTCTCTTCCTCCCTTAACCTTTATCTAGCTAATGGAAGGAAGGCATGTTTTGAGAAATTTAAATAAGGATTAAGATGCTCATCTTAGTCTTTTTTTTTTTTTTTTATAATTACAAGGAATTTTTAAAAATAGAATTGTCAAAGGCCAACCAAATAGCTCAGGGGATTATAGTGCCTACAAACAGATGCAGGGGCCAGGTGTTTGATCCCTGGGCCTGCCATGCCGGCCTCTGCTCCTGTGGCACCCTGAGTCGGCAAATGAAATTGGGCCTGGTGGTGCGTGCCTATAATCCCAGGTCTTACAAGGCTGTAAATAGGCAGATCACTACAAGTCTGATCTAGTAGTGAGACCCTGAACACCCTATAGACCCTTCCCTAAAATACAAAAGAAAAAAAATAGAATTATCCAATAATAGTGGGTTGGTTGAATAAATTTTAACAAGCTGTTGGATGCTTGTTAAAGATGAAACCTACAAATACATTTTCATGACATCAGGAAATGCTTATGAGATGATACACATGTCAATTAGCAGTATAAATTTTAATATTTATGATGCACAGAAAAAGCCCCGGGAGGAGGTGTGCCAAGCGTTATGAATGGCATGCTGCTTATAGGGAACAGGGTTGTGTGAGTAATTTAGTTGTTCCTTTGGTTTTTATAATTTCCAAAGATTTTACAGAAAGCATTATTTAGGGCTCAAATTAGAAGTAAGACTCCTATTTAAAGAAGCAATAAAGATCTTCAAAGGAAGGCGGTGGGTTTCTTAACAGTCTAGTTTGGTCTGTCAGAGAGGTCAAGGCCATTGCAACACAGACCGCAATCAAGGGGCATCACTTTAATGAGGGGGTGTCCCAGGTCCAAGGAGCCAGCACTTGTGAACACCCACTGACAAGGCAGTGTGTCTGCTGGGAGAAAAAGCAGATTTCAAAACACTAGCACAGAATGAAATCCAGTTTTAAATAATTGAACAGCTTTAATGCATGAGAAAACGACCCAAGGTGCTGAAAGGTTAATTCAGAACGTTTCTGAGTACTGTAATTTAAATTGAGTTTCAATTCAAACTGAAAATTTCAACTCAAGTTTTCTAATTCCCTGTTAGTACACTGTAAAAACTTGACTTATAATCAGAGTTATTTTTAAGTCAAAGTATTTTCAAAGTCCTTATTTTGTTAGATTGCCAGGCAGGAACGCCTGAATAGGGAGGAAGGTTTGGAGGGAGCAGAGGGGAGTTTGTGGGTACAGGGCGAATGCCTACCTAGAGAAAAGGGGTCGTGGGCAGGTAGGCCCTACCTGAGCCTGGAAGATCTGGTGGTAGACTTTGCCCTTGGGAACCTGGGTTGCCTTCCCCACCGACGACATCTTGGCGCTGGCCTGGCCGGAAGCCCCTAGAAGGAAGCTGTTGTCCTGGTTACGCGCTGGCGGGTCGGGGCTCAATTCCCACCCGGTCTGGGAACCAGCATCTGCCCAAGAGAGATGAGGCTACCTCGGGGCGGGCGGGACCCGGTGTGGCGGTGGCACTGGAGTTTTAATTCTAAAGCAAACGCAGAAGGGAGGGCCCGAGGAAAAGCCGAGAAACAAACAAACCTCAGGCTGGCCGCGAACACGAGAAGGCTGCTCTCCCTGTTGCTCAGGCGCAAATCCGACAGGGACTTTGGGGACACAAAAAATGCAGGATTATGTTTGTGCTTGGCCTTACCAAGATCTTCTGAGACAAGTTAACCCAAAATTATTAGATGGGATTGGAACCGCAGCCGATCTTGAGTTTAGTACCTCGTCCCACCCTCCAGGAAGTGCAGGGAAGGCAAAGGAAGAGACTGATTTTGGGCACGCTCAGGAGGCGCCCAGCTGTCTGCGGAGAAGACACAGCTGGCTCCTCCCGTTCTCCTTTTCAGACCCCTCACGCAGCTTCGGCAGCCCCCGGGTGACCCCGGGTCAGGAAGTTTGGGGATAGGCTCTGCCCCAGACCCGCCAACCTCTCACCTACAGAAAGCACCGCTCGAGTTGGCTTGGATGGGTCTAACAGCAACCAAAGCGGACACTCATGGTCTCCTAGGCAACGCGGGGGGGCGAGGAGGCTCTGGCCCCGCCCACTCCATTCCCTGGCAAAGGGTTGCTCTAAGCTCATGCGTAAAGCACACAAACTGAAATCAACTGGGACAAGGAAAAGGAGAAAAGAAAGGAAAAAGAAAGATATATGTATATACACAGGACATCTTAGATAATTGTACTGCTGATTTCTGCTAGTCTATTGAAAGGGAACAGTTAATGCTCTTTTTTTCCTCTTTAATTTTTTAAATAATTTTTGACCAATTTTGCATGCTTGTGTCTGGTAACCTGAGCAACTAATTTGAAGACAATAATATGCAATATAACAAACATTGTTATATTCCTATAATTTTGCTTAGTGAAATTCTGTATTGTTTATTTATTTTTACTATTGTTTTATTCTCTAAAGAAGAAGAGGAAGAGGAAGAAATTGAATCAGAGGTTCTTTCAAGCCAATTTCTTTTCTGTGCACCAGAGAAGCCAAGGCGTCCAGGGCAGCACAGTGTGTTAAATGTACTGAAAGTTAGATCTGAGCCATCAGGGTCAGGAAAACCTGTGGTGTCTATGCTTGGGCTTGGTAAAACAGAAACAAAAACCATCTGTGTGGGGAAAGTAGCGCAGGGTAGTTGTTGCCTCTAAGAGTCCACGAGACTCTAGACCCTTTTTCTCAATATAAAAGGTTGACAATATTTAGGGCTCAGGGCTTGCCTGGCCTTAAATGGAGATGCTGTGGTTGACACAAATGATGGCCCAGAGTTTTCTATATGCTGTCTAGGCCTGGAGATGTACAGCCCCTTCAAAGAGAATTGGTTTCTTGGAAGGCATCCTAACAAGTTCTAATAAGTACTCCCTATGCCAACTTCCTAAAGCAAGTGATCATTCTGTCCAGTCTAGCATTAGAAATTAAGAAGCAACGGGCAGAAAGCTCTTATTTTCATCCTTTGCTCCAGGAATTTAACAAGGTGAAATATTGTAATAAGGCTGAATTCATTTTAGTTGAAAAAAGAGAATGTGACTGAGAGAAGAGTTGAAAAACACAATAAAGTAGAAAATGTTCAGGAATTTGCAATCTCTGTTTTCTTTGCTGCTGGGTTGTAGCTCCTAGCCTATTTGTGATACACTTCAGTGTATCACATATGTTGTTTTTTTTCTGAGTAAACAGAAGTATTGTAGAAAATGACTCAATAGAGAAAAAAACTGTGATCCTACCACTAAGATTTTACCGCCCTTCTTTCTCAGGTTTCTAGGCCATTATGTTTTGTGTTCGGATCAAAT